TCAGCTTAGAAGGCAGTACACCTCAAGCAGCAGCACTGAATTAAGGGTGGCACACAACGAGGGCCCAGCTCTGTAGCACAGAATAAGGAGGGCAATGCTATACCATGCCATTCTCTAGCTGCCCAGCTTTGAAGACAGCATCACTGCCAGCAGCAGCATAGAAATAAGAGTAGCAGCACTGCAATCCCTCCCCCCCCACACACACACAATAACTTGACAATCCCCCAAGTCCTTTTTGGGACTCTTTGGGACAATTACAACACTGAATTTCGGATTCAAATATCTGAAATCATGAAATGTCTGATTTTTTTTTTAAACGTATCACCATGAAATTGACCCAAATAGACCATGAATTTGGTAGGGCCCCTATCCATGCCCCATTGGGCTGAATGATATTGTGCAAGTACTCATCATGAGCTAGGGCAGCAGAATCAAGCCCTTGATGGATTACCAGCCAGCAAAATTATGTCAAGGCTTTTCTTTTCTATGCTGGCCTGTGACGAGAGTTTGCATAAATAATCATCCCCTCATTGTATGACTCTCCGGAGCGTAAATTTTTTCCTGCTGTTTTTATCTCAACTCTTACATTTCACTGAACTGTACAATAAATTCCCCTTTTTTGTAATACAATGTATTTCTCTCCCCTCATCTATCCCCCATTCTTCTGTTGCCTTTAGGAATCTCATTTGACAAAGGCCTCGCAAATGGAAATGCAAATCTCCTACCTGTCACAGAACACTTTCTGACAGCAGTGGCACAGCGGAGTCAGAATGCCAATTCCTCCGAGCCATGGGGATTTTGTAACTTCACTGAAGCTGGGGAAGATTGTTCCTGCTCACACCTGGGCTGAGTTTGACCCAGTGTGTGCTGTGCGCTAGCATCATGGAGAGGGCCCAAGTTCCAGAAAATATTCAGGAGACAAACATTAGTTTATTCAACTCTGGGATATAAATAAAAAAACCTGATTAGATTTAAGGCCTTATTAGGCATTGATGTATTCCAGCCATTCATCCATTTCCTGCTTAGTAATTTCCTTTTACTTTAATAGACAGCCAGCTTCTCTCTTCATTAGTGAGTAACGCATTAGTGAGTCTAGCTCTGATAGTGTCCTGTCTAATCTTATCTATCTAGGGTTGCATAAAACCATAGAAAGCCTGTGTGATCTTACCAGATTAAACAATGTCTCTTTCCTATACAAAAGTCCCAATTTAAGTCAAGTGAATGACCTTCTGTGGTTTAAAATGGAATCGCTTGAAGTTCTCAAGTAATCTTCCAGCAGTACATATAGAATTGGGCAGCTGTGCTTGGGAGACTGGGACTGGAGAAAGAAAATACCTTTGATTGATTGGTAGAAAAGCCACATGTTTGTTGACCCCCTCAAAGAAATCTAGCAGATTAGTAAGACAGGATTTCCCTTTACAGAAACCACATTGACTTTCCCCCCCAACAAATTATGTTCCTTTATGTGTCTGAAAATTTTATTCTTTACTATAGTTTCAGCTACCTTGCCTGGTAGTGACATTAGACTTACTGGTCCGTAATCGCCAGGATCACCTCAAGCCCTTTAAGAGGTCCAGTTATATTTACCTCTTGAACCAGACTGTGTGCTCCACTTAAGACTCCACTTAGGACTAAGTGAAGCATAGTCTCTCCCCTTGTGGTTTCCAGAACCAGATGCTCCAAGAAGCAGTCATTTAAGGTATCAAGGAATTTTATCTCTGCATCCAGTCGTGAGGTGACGTGTATCCAGTCAATATGGGGAGAGTTGAGATCCCCCCACTATTATTGAGTTTTTTATTTTGCTAGCCTCTCTATTCTCCCTTAGCATTTCATAGCCACTATCACTGTCCTGATCAGGTGGTCGATAATAGATCCCTAGTGCTATATTCTTATTATTGGAGCAGAGAATTACTATCCGTAGAGATTCTATGGAACATTTAGGCTGATTTAAGATTTTTATTTCATTTGATTCTCCTTTCCTAACACTCTGACTCAAACACCAACACAGTTGTGAACACACAGGCATGGGCGGGAGATTGTTTTCTCTTTCCCCATCTAATTCTTTCCTTTTGTCTTTTCACGCTTTGTTGTGCCACTTTTCTTTCTTCCCTCTTCATGTACCATACACTACGGCTGTGTCTAGACTGGCAAGTTTTTCCGCAAAATCATCTGCTTTTGCAGAAAAACTTGCCAGCTGTCTACACTGGCCGCTTGAATTTCCGGAAAAGCAGTGCTATCTACCACTATTTTGGTTTTTCCTTTCTAATGGGTTGGCCACCCCTGAATTATTCTATTGAAATTTTGTATTTAAATATTTAATACATTAAATGCATAAAGTGTAGACGTACCCTATATCTAGTCATGCTTGGATTGTTGAAAATTACAAGTTTTGTTTATAAAGTCACAAGATACATGAGGTACACAACCACCATTGACCCAGATTTAAGTCTGAATTTTTAGGTAGTACGGAATAAGTGTTTGGGTACGTCACCCATGGGAAGTTTTACAGAGTTAGCTGTGGTAGAGCGGATATGTAAATAGGTAGGGATTATCCCTCAGTTGGTATCTGGGGTAGACTCTCCGTAGGAAGATAGTCTGCCAAGGAGGAATTTGGGCTACTTCCCTGACTGTCCCTTGTTGACAGTCCTGCTCATCTGTCTTGGTACTGTCAGTGTCCTGTGATGTGTTCTGTGTATACGTCTGTGAACCATCTGATGGCATCAGACACCATGAGCCGCTGCATCAGCTGAGCGTAGCATCAAATGACTCCACACGCTCTTAGCACAGGCTCATCATTAGGGTTCCACGTGCCCAGTGCTCCATCGATCAGATTAAATAGTGGTTCATGGTGTGCTGTGGCCAGCAGCTGGAAACTGTGAGCTTCTAAAGGTTAGAAATCTAGAAGCCTCTGTTAATTGGCTGAGCCTTAGTCAGGGGGGTGGGCTACCAGGGCTTTATAAAGCAGTGAGTCAGCGACCAGGGAGCTTGCGACCAGGAGCAGCA